TTGTAAACTACAAGCAGAAGCAGAGAACAAAAATAATTAACTTTACTGACAATAGAAAAATAGGAAATTCGGACTCTGAAAGAACCGACTCTAATTAATGGGCTGGGTCCACTTATTGAAGCCCTGATAGATGTGCTAACCAGGCCCATGCTTGAAGGCCGCTATTTAAGATGTAATCAAAATTTTAGGGAAAGTTGTATAAAATAACAAACTATTAATTCAAATTAAATGTTATAACCACAGTTTAATTTAATTGTAACCCGTAGCAAATAGTTGTCATTCGCCTCTCTCCCTAGATTTTTCGCTCGCCACTCTCACCAGTCTCTCCCTCGCCTCTCTCGCTTTTATACAAACACAAATGTATAAAATGTGTTTGTGTTTGTATAAAGCGAGAGAAAACTGTATATACATATATTTTTATCATATACACTTATAATTATATAAATACAAATCCTCCTCTGCCCAGTTCTCTTTTGCCTTTCTCTCTTTCTCGCTTTATACAAACACAGATTATACAAATTACAATGTATAATTTGTGTTGTATAAAGCGAGAGAGAGATATTTGATATGCAAATGTTTTATTTCGATTCAATTGTATACAAATTCAAATTTTAAGCAAATATACAAACACATAAAATTGAATTGAGAGGCTACCAGCGATTTATACAAACGAAAGTCTGCCAACGATTTATACAAATGTACTGCCAGCGAAATTATACAAATCTGAAGCTCCTGTCAGCGAATTATACAATCTGATGCTCCATAGCAAACATAAAGTTTGTTATGGAGCGCAATTATACAAACTATAGTTATAATATACAAATATGATTTTCATGTTTGTTATATGTGAAAGTTGCTCAAAATTTCAAAATGTTTAACCATTTAGAGTTTATTTATATTTATTTGTCATATATGAAACTTTCTCCATTTGATGTCGGGTATTCATATTGGACCCCGACTATTTCAAATTCATGTCAGATGGGGACCCACTAGGGAGGTAGCGTTTTCTATCAAGGATTTTTCCATATTTAGGGCTTGAACTTGAGACTCTAGTTAAAAGGAAGCAGCCCTGATTATCCATTGCACAACATCCTTTAATTATATTTTAGAATTGAGATTTCAAGTCCCCGAAGTTTTCAAATTAGGCTTGATTAAAGGGAATGAAGAGTCAAAGCTAATAATGAATAAATTAAGGCAAATAATGATTTGTTATTAAAGGATTAAGGATGATTAATCCTTTCCTCAACACAAAAGACATAGATAATTATAACTATGAAAATGTACTTTCATTCAAGGTGTTGATCTCTACCTGAAGAGTTTTCATTAGCGTGTTGTTGGTAAGAAGGAAATTATTTTTCAAAAAATAAGTAAAAAATATATAATTATTTTATGATATTTGATACATAAGCTGAAGAAATATTTTTAAACCATATATTTATAATTTAGATAAGTTATACGGTAAATGGTAATGGTGGAGATGTGATAGGTATACGCAGGGTGTTAAAAGAATATGAAAAACCGATAGAACCTAATCAAACCGAACCGATTTATGTTAATTTTTCAATAAAAATGTGGACTTTTAATTAAGTGTATAACCGTCCAGAATAATTGAGAAGGTCTTTTTAATTTATGAAAAATCCCAAACTGAACCGAATAATCTTACATGAATGTAAATATATTCTATATATTAACAATATGTTAAAATTAATATATAAATATATTTTATAATATTTTTCAAATATAAATATAGGACAAATTACAGAAATCACATATATTTTAAGGCAAAATTATAATTTATCCCTGAAAAGTTTATAATTACAGAAATCCTTCATTTTCGCGCATAAGATTAGTGTATCAGCGGTTATATTATTGTATCTCGCGCATCAGATTAGTGTATCAGCGCTTATATTATTGTATCTCGCGCATCAGATTAATGTATCAGCGCTTATATTATTGTATCTCGCGCATCATATTAATGTATCAGCGCTTATATTATTGTATCTCGCGCATGTATCAACATTTATATAGCTCTGATACATTAATCTGATGCGCGAGATACAATAATATAAGCGCTGATACATTAATCTGATGTGCGAGATACAATAATATTAGCGCTGATACATTAATCTGATGCGCGAAAATGAGGCATTTTGGAAATTTGTAAAACTTATAGGTGATAATGGTAATAAGTAAACTAAAAGGTGAGTTTTTTGTAATTTTTCCAATAAATATAACCTAGGTCCTAGCTAGGCCTCTGGTGACTATACGACTTTGGGTTTTTGCTCATCAATTATCCTTTACCTGATTAGGTTTAAAATCAAAAGATATCGTAGTAAATACTCTATCAAACAATACAACAAAATCTATGCAAACACTCCTATTAAATGTTTAAGATCAAACAATACGGCAACAAGGTTTTAAGTTCTTGTCTTCTTGGTGAAGAATTAAAGTGTTTTTGCAAGAACATATTTGCGAAAGAAATATCTTCATAGTAGTATATTTTGAGGTGATATTTTAAAAACGAAAATTAACCGAATCATACCGATACCGAAGAAAAGCCGATATGATTGAGATGATTTAAAAAATCTAATTTTGATTATGTACTATAAAATATCCAAAAATTAAGATGGTGTAATTTTAAAAAAATAACCGATAAAACATACCATTGAACACTCCTAGGTATGTGGGAAGCTGGGAGGAGGGGTATATCATTATAGATTTTTTTTTTAAAAAAAATTATCATGAAAATTATTTTACAAAATATAATATTTTTCGAAAATCTTACACAATCAAACACAAGAAAAATTCATATTAAATCCAAGTGATATGTTTTTATTCTTTTATGTAATAAAGAAAAAAGACAATTGCCGCGTGGGAGGATATCTGTAATCCAATCATATGCTTAAATTAAAAAATAGCATACTTCCTTCACCTACAACTTTGACTACTAATAAATAAAAACAAGCTTTGGAAAAAAATTCATAATTGTTTTCTCCAATACACATCTCACACAAACTGAATGTTGCGAAGGCACGCAACTAAAGCTTGATACAATCTGTGTTATTTGAGAGGAGTCGTGATGTGATTGATAAAAGTGAAGATTTTTGAGCCGTGAAAATAATTTTTTATAAAAATATAAGATAAAATTGTGTATAATTTTTTTTATCATCTAACTAATCTCTAGATCAAGTTATGATTAAAGTATTAGAATAAAATATATTGTAACAACCAAATAGGAGTATCAATTTACATAGGGAATGCAAAAGAATAGTAAAGCATATGTATCAATCTAAGTTACGATGAGATAACTATTATTTCTCCACTTTTAATTAGGGAAAATTGTATGAAATAGTAAATTATTAATTTAAATTAAATGTTATAGTTATAGTTTATTTTATTTGTAATTCGCAGTAAATATCTCATTTTTTTGCCATCTGGTTCGGTATACAATTACTCATGCGATATACAAATGTATAAAATGCGTTTGTGTTTGTATAAAACGAGAGAAAAGTGTATATACAAATACAAATACATATATTTTCGTCCTATACACTTATAATTATACAAATACAGGTCTTATTATACAAATTATAATGTATAAATGAATTTAAACAAAACTGAACAATTTATATAAAATTAGATGTATTTAGCGAATTATACAAATAAAAGCTCCATAGCAAACATAAAATTTTCATGTTGAAAGCATTATTTCCAAAAATAAACCTTGCAATACTCAAATTTCAATTTAATCAAATTTTAATCTGAATAATAGGGACCAGACAGAAAAACTCAAAAGAAAAATATAGTTGGTAAGCAGTAATTTCATATATATATATTTGTCAAAAAAAAAACAATGTTGTTGACAAAGCTTTACAAAAACATGTAATGTCCTGTTTCCTGTCCGGCTCTGTTTGGCTATCAGAGTATTTTAATTATCAAACTACATTAATTAGAACACTCTTGAAATATTTGCATGTTAATTTAAAGATATTTCAAGTTAGCTAATAATTTTTGCTTCTAAAATTATAAACTCACAAACCTTTTTTTCTGTTAAACTTACAAAACATAATTTTGTATTTAACTCAACCAAATATTATCCAAACATGTACGTACATCTCAAAGTTCAAATTTCTTATTCCCATTGGAAAATATTTAATAATATAATTCCAAACACACAATAGTCCATTTAGCATTCAAAATCAGTCTTTTCAAACCTACGGTGGAAACACAAAAGTCCAGTGGGACCCTAAAAGAAGGAAAATCACAATTAAGGAGGTAGCAAAATCAAAACGACACGTTAGGAGCGTCATCTTCAAATGAGACTGATAATATATAATTTAAATTAATTGAAATTTTAGTGTGTTATTAAATATCAGATTTTGAAAATCTCAAAAACAAAAAACAAAAACAAAACGCCACGCATAAAGTACCATTTGGGTATAGAAGCAATGCTAGTATTTACTTTTTAGAAAATAATATTTTTTCTCTTCATTTTAAAAATAATATTCCATCATAAATAATTCAAATTCAATTTGAAGTTCATTTTAAAATTTAGAACACAGTTTATAACATATTTTTCACTCATTTTTTATTTTTAAAATTATCTTCAAATTTAAATATATTTACACACGAACATTATTTCAAATATTTTCAATAAAAAACATAACTTAACATAACACTTGCATCAACAATCTTCACCCATACTCGAAGTCCCTATTCTCACCGCCCACACCCCTACTTAACTCTTGACTTTCATAGTAATCTAAGATTATATACAAATAATTTTACTTATATAAATAACCCAAAAATAGATTTTTAAAAAAAAATTTATTATCGAAACACCCCTACTAATTAAAGAAAACCCACGGGTTTCCAGAATAATTACCCACAAATCCGCTTCTTCTCCTCTTCTCTTGTACCCATATAAAAGGCGCCATTTGCACCCCCACCCCCGTCGTTTAAAAACCCCTAAACCCTCAAATCTATCTTCACTCAAAGCTTCTTACATTGTCATGCGAAAATGATTTCTCGTGGATACGCAACGGACACTCAGTCGAAATCCTCCGATATCGCCGCCACCGTACTCGCCGCCTCGTCGCCGCTGCAGATCCTCGCTGCGTGCGACGCCATTGAGTCGTTTCTACACAAGCATACAGCTGAACAGACCCGATGGTTCTTCTCCATCACTTTCCCAACCTTAATTTGTAAAATTTTTGGCTTCGATGAATCTTCTTCTGCTTCAGCTGCTGTCAAGTCTATGTCTCCTTCTGGATGGATAGATATCGCCGCTTTATCCAATGATACTCAGCTCGCAGGTTTGCTTCTGAAACTCTGCGCGTTTTCATTTCTGAGCTGATTGCTTTGTATTTACTTCCGTTTTGTTAGATTAGACCTTACAAATAAGGTATAATTTCTTATAATCTCATGTGCTTTAGGATGCTCATTAACTGTTTATATATTTATCATCACATTGTCATGCATAGCAGTTAGAGTTCTTAGCTAATTAAGTTGTTTTTTAATGCCATTACTTGATGACTATCTAGACTACACATTTTTGAAAGCGAATTTATAAGCCGCCACATATTCTAGGATTTTCTTACAATATCCTTCGGTGTTGTGTGGCATTTTTATTTTATGTTTTATCTGCAAGTTGCTATAGTTTGCAGGTAGAATTTCAGCTAATAAATTGATCTTTTCTGCCATTATTTGGTGATTATCGTGAATTATTCATCTAGAAAGCTAATTCAAAAACCTCCACATCTTTTGGAATTTTTCAATTTTCTTGCGTATTGCAATGTTTTAGTCATTTTATTTTATGTTATTCCAATGTTCTGGTTTACAGGTTGATGTTCGCCTTATTATGTGAACTTATAATCCTTCATTGCTTCCAGAAAGTTCTTTTTTTTTTTTTACTATTTCTTATGTTTTGCAATGAATTATCTTTGTTTTTTGGTAACAAATTTTGTTGTTTACAGGTAGAATTTTCAGCTTATTATCGCCCACTGGTGTGTTACTATCTTCTATTGTAGCTGCAGATGGGCTGTCTCTGGTTAAATATGTATTTCCTGTAGAAAGGTTACCCAAATGGGTTCGTCCCCGCTGGCTGTATGGGCCTCGCTCGCTGTCTACTAAATGAGCCTTCACTGCCCGCCCGTCGGATCCTCAAAAAAAAGCTTTTCTGGGGACGCTCTTTGGTTTTGTGTGACTTGTGCCCGTTGTTCAAAAATAGGTTGAAGGAGGACTCAGTTAAGGGTTCTTCATTTCAGGTTCAGTTGAATGTGTTTGAATATTACATGTTCTGGTTTGTCTATTACCCTGTTTGTCGAGGTAACAGTGAGGGCCCTCAAACTGTAAGTGTTAGGAGAAGCAGAAGGTTTAGATTGGAGAATTGGACTTATTCGATTCCAGGTTTGTCAAGCACCAAACGCGGGATGGAGCAGAAGAATGAGGGCGATTTGTATATGCGTCTCTTGTATGCATATCTCCGTGCATATGTGCCTGTAGCTGATATGAAGGCACATCAACCATATAGGAGCTCACTGCTTCACTACTCTTTTTCCTATGGGACTCCAATTGTTGAAAAAGCAGAGTTCTTGGTTAGCACTCTCATACATTTTTGGTTAGTTGATAATGATTTCTCACCATTGCCTGTGAATTTGTGCAAATCATTTGGTGTGACATTCCCTTTTCGGTCAGTAGTGGGTGAGATTCCTCCTACTTCAGGATTAGGTGAAGTAGTAAATGTGTTTGTCAAATATCTGAATCTAAGTTCGATTGCATCAAGTGATAGAACTGACCAGGTTGACTACACTGAAAGTCCTAAGTGGAAAGTTGGGGGGACATAATGGTTCTCAGTCAAGAAATGCTGTTCCCGTCGTGGATTCTGGTAATTCTTGGAACTCGTGGATTCAGAGGCCATTGTACTGATTTATATTGAGGACATTCCTGTATTGTCCAATGGAAAGTTCTATTAAGAATGCATCTCAGGTGTTCACCTTGTGGGTTAGTTACCTGGAGCCCTGGTCTATTTCTATGGAAGAATTTGCAGAACTTAATGCGGATATGGGGAAGTCTAATAGAGGTACATTAAAGGAGGTTACCCCGTCAATGCCACATGGTTATACCTCTTCTTGGCAAGTTTTTGTATTAGCTAATTACTTATATTACAGCTCTTTGGTCATGCATTTTATTGGTTTTGCCCACAAGTTCCTTCACACAGATCCAAAAGTGATAGTCAAGATGGTTTCAAAGGTCTGTTCCATTTTCAAATCTTTCCTTTTGTTGGTTACTATTGTAGAGAAGCTTCTGGCGCATATTACTTAGGTGCTTGTTGCAATAATGAGTGGCTGAATGCATGACATGTACTGCCAGTTATGTGCATGGTCTTTGTTTGGCATGTCTGGTCATCAATTACCTTTATATGGCTACTTTTAACTTTCACTAGCTAAATGAGAACTGCTCCAGATAACACGAGTCTTGTGGTTTCAGTTTCAACAAATACTGTGGATTTTCATATTGGCAACTGTTGGTAATACTAATTACTTTTCTTTGTTCTTTGGAAGTGTTTTTGCGCTCTTTTGAAGAGTCTGATGTAATAACTCGCATGGTATTAGAGGACAGAGGACATTGGTCTTAGCTGCCTTGCCAAAAGTCAAAACCATGAATCATGGTACAATTGAACGTGGGATTGTAAGATCTAGTGGCACAGTAGCCTTGAGTTTGGCTGTCATCTCAATTTTGCTAATATTAGAAAGAAATTGTGAACAGACTGGAGCATCTCACCAGGAGCTGTTGATCAAAATATTTTGGACCAACTCCTGTAATTATGTGTCTCAGAGCATATGTTGTTAGTTTAGTGCACTTTGCTGCCCTGCCCTTTAGAGCATATGTTGTTACTCTCCAGCGTTCTTTAAAATCTGCATTGCATGTCTTTATCCTTATTGACTTTTAGATTAGTTAGGCATTCCACATGCTTTTATTTTACTATTGTTCTCCTTGTCCCTTTCTAAACTATGCTTTATTGTGCAGGTGATAACAATATTAACCTCATCTGCAGAACTGATGGACCTCATAAAAAATGTGGATATTGTATTCCATTCGAAACCAGCTGGATCATCTAAATCAATGCTTAATGCTTTGCATAAATATGTTCATGCTATTTGTGAGCAATAACAGGTACTCTAATAGCTCGTCTTACCAGTGCTTCCTTAATTCATTGTTAGCCGTTAGCACACTTCATTTTGATCTTTCCTCTTAGTGATTAAATGAAATGTACTCTCATTTTACCGTTAGAAATATCTTGTCAGCAAGCATCAAAAGTAAGTGAAGAAATGCTGACCTCTGTAATAGTAATAGTGGTTACAGTATGATACATGTAGATGATGTGTAGTTCCCTTAAAGTAATGAATGAAAATAGAAAAAAGATATGAATAACTTTATATTATTTTATCTTATGTGCCCAATCTTCACTTGCACATTTCAACCAACATCTCTGAGCCATTTGGAGAGATGAGGTTAGGGCTTGAAATTTGATTTCTGCTTTCATAAAGAGAAGAGTGATTTATGTGTATTGTGTTTACCATTATGAAACCTATCGTCTTCCTAAATTAGGTCATGTAGCTTTGGAATGGTCTTACTATATTATGAAATGTCCAAGTGTCTAATGAGCTTGCTTATGCGTAGGGCTCATCAGATTTTCAAGAAAGTATTAGCAACATTTGTGTAACCTTTCTAGTAGAGCCTTATTGCATGCATATCCATGCTAGCTCCAATAGTCATGAACTTATGTTAGGGGTGTGAATACCTTCACTTGGTATGAAGTAGTAGCAACAAATAATTATTCTTTATTTTCATGGAAATAAAAAAGCGGCAAATAACTTGTATCTAATATTGCTTTTATTTTAAATTTAAATCACTTTATGTTTTGTTTATATGTAATTTCCTATTTTATCCTGTTATAATTGAAAAATGAGATGTTTTATAACTTTGCAAAAATCTAAGAAGATAGGGTGCAAACCATTAAAAATGATAGGCTGATGTGTAAAACACATTACTCTAAAAAGTCGTATACATTTAATTCCTTGCAATATTCTACGGTCTAATTCACTAATTTCCATTGCTGTAGAGTTTCCAGGAAACTACAAACTAATTATAATACAATATGTTAGTGCTCACTTTTCAAATCTTCTGCTCTGACTGCTGCATAGTTGTATGACTTAACATAAGTTTACAAGCCAGTGTCATTTTCACTCTGTAGAAATTGGCTACACATAGTCAAAAGTCTCAATTTCAGTGTAACTCCAAATCCCACCTACTTCTTCTATAAATATATTTGCCATACTAAATAAACTTGTCATCATTCATCACAAAATTAAATATGGAGGTTTTTCTAGCCTTGGCAGGACTAGTTGTATTAGCTTTTCTCTGTAAAATTACCACTTCTCGACGCCCAGTTAACCGGAAGCTACCACCGGGTCCAAAACCATGGCCCATCATTGGCAATTTGAACCTACTTGGTCCTATCCCACATCAATCTTTTGACTTGCTTTCCAAAAAATATGGAGAGCTGATGCTACTGAAATTTGGCTCCAGGCCAGTTCTTGTGGCATCATCTGCTGAAATGGCAAAACAGTTTCTAAAAATACATGATGCAAATTTCGCCTCCCGTCCTCTGTTAGCTGGTGGAAAGTATACAAGCTATAACTATTGTGACATGACATGGGCACCGTATGGTCCCTATTGGCGCCAAGCAAGACGAATTTACCTGAACGAGATATTTACGCCAAAAAGGCTAGACTCGTTCGAGTACATCCGTGTTGAAGAAAGGCAGACCTTTATTTCCCAGCTAAATTCTCTTGCTGGGAAGCCATTTTTTCTGAAAGACCATTTGTCACGATTTAGCCTCTGTAGCATGACAAGGATGGTTTTGAGCAACAAGTACTTTGGTGAATCAACAGTTAGGGTGGAAGATTTGCAGCACCTAGTAGACCAATGGTTTTTACTTAATGGTGCTTTTAACATTGGAGACTGGATTCCATGGCTCAGTTTGTTGGACCTGCAGGGGTATGTGAAACAAATGAAGGCTTTGAAAAGAAGTTTTGATAAGTTCCACAACATTGTGCTAGATGACCACAGGGCTAAGAAGAATGCAGAGAAGGACATGGTGGATGTCTTGTTGCAGATGGCTCAAGACCCTACTTTGGAAGTCAAACTCACAGATGATTGTGTCAAAGGATTAATGCAGGTTAATTTCTTTCAATTCTAGATTTTCTCTTGTTTTAGACAAACTTTTAACCTTACTAAACTATGGCAGGATCTACTAACCGGAGGAACAGATAGCTTGACAGCAGCAGTGCAATGGGCATTTCAAGAACTTCTTAGACAGCCAAGGGTTATTGACAAGGCAATCCAAGAGCTTGACCAGGTTGTCGGAAAGGAGAGATGGGTAGAAGAGAGAGATTGTTCACAGCTATTGTACATTGAAGCAATTATCAAGGAAACACTAAGGTTACATCCTCTTGGAACTATGCTAGCACCACATTGTGCTATTGAAGATTGTAATGTGGCTGGTTATGACATAGAGAAAGGAACGACCGTTCTGGTGAATGTTTGGACCATTGGAAGGGACCCCAAGTACTGGGATAGAGCAGAAGAGTTTCTCCCAGAGAGGTTCCTAGAAAAGGGCATTGACATGGATGGACATAACTTTTCCTTCTTGCCATTTGGCTCGGGGAGAAGGAGGTGCCCTGGCTATAGTTTGGGACTTAAGGTTATCCGAGCAACTTTAGCCAACATGTTGCATGGATTCATCTGGAAATTACCTCAAGGTATGAATACAGAAAGCATAAGTGTGGAAGAACATTATGGGCTCACAACACATCCAAAGTTTCCTGTTCCTGTGATCTTGGAATCTAGACTCTCTTCACATCTCTATTCCCCTAAGTGAAGGAACTTTTGGATTACTATTAAACATGAACAACTTTTAGGTTTTTGTCTATTCTGTTTTTGGTTAAGTTTATACAAGAACAAAATAAGACATATATGAATAAAAATAGTTGTTATATCGATTATGCTTTAATATTTTTATTGGACAAGCACTTTCAATAATCCACAGCCACCACTGCACTTTCTCACTATAAAGACAGAAACAAAAATATACTACTTCTTTTCAACAAAGGTGGGCTGTCAACTGTGCAAATACAACTAGAGGAATAAAGTCATTTCAGTTTCAAAGTGGTCACTTTAACCTTCAGATTTCACTAGTTTACTCAAAATGAGGACTAAATCAATATCCTCAGCATATCGCTTTGAAACACAGTATTTTTTTGTTTTCACCCAAATTCTTCAAGTTCTAAGTCAGTTGAAACTTGAATAATCTGCTTTCTAACATTTCGCCCATGATAAATACCAACAAAAGATGATGCAGCATTTTCTAAACCCTCAGCAATGTCTTCTACAAAAAGCAATTTTTCTCTCTTATTAGCTGAATAACAAACTCGAGGTACTCTGGAACCTTGTGCCGGAAGTCAAACTCAAAAAAACCTTCCATTCGTAATCTCTTTGAGATAAGACAAAACAAATTGTGGTTTCTTTAAATTGTACTGAGAGATCATCCCAGAAATTGCAATCCTACCATAGAGGTTTATGTGCAAAAGCACCTCATCCAGCATATTTCCTCCAACGTTCTCAAAGTAAACATCAATACCCTTAGGGAAATGCCTTCATTTTGCAAACACACAGTTAGAGAAGCACATCATTCCACAGAGTACTAAATTACATGTTTCAAACTCATAAAATTGGTTAATAAATTTTAAACATTTATCAATGCGCTCTGAAGTCTGGAAAGTCCTTCATTTTGCAGTGAGAGACAGATGAAGAAACATGTCACTCCACAGAAAAATAATTTTTTTCTCAACCTAACCAAATTTAACATAGAAAAGTACTTGCTTCTGACTCATAAAATTCAATAATTAATTTCAGCATTTGTCAATACCCTCTAGTAAATGCCTTTTTGCAGACCGAAAAAAAAAAATCATTCCACAGAAAAGTAATGTTGTGAAGAGTTTATGTTACGGAAATATCGTAGCTTAACTAACACAATCACACACAAGGCAAATAAAGAAGAAAAATAACATAAAAATTTAACAAGGTTCGGCTAAGCCTAATCCACGAGACAAAAGTAGAATGTTTCCACTATGAAAGAAAAAAGATGTACAGTCATATGAATCCCCAACTACAACCCTTATATATGCATCCCAAATCTACAAAAGAAAGGTTTACTCAACCTACAAGAGCAATATGTTTTTCTTTTCCAAATCTATTAGGACAATGTATTTCCTGAACCAATAGAAATTATGAATTTTCTAAATATACAACGGAAAAATTCAATACGTCATTAACAAATCTTTCCCTCGACTTGAACTCTCTTTATCAACAGGAACAACATCTCTCTATCTTGCCCTTATCCCTCGAAAGTGCTCTACTAAGTACTGCACACACCAATCAAGTTTGCAATGCCTAATGTCATGTCCCGCCACTATCGGAGCCAAATTTTGCAGCAAAGAAGACGTAGAGGTTTCTAGAGTCAAGTAGAGAACTCTAGAATGCCTTAGAAATTTCAAGAAGGCCTTGGAGACTTCTAGGCTATGTAGAATTCTCTAGAAAAGGGGCCAATGTGTAAATACTCTAGGGACTTATCATGTAAATATTAATTGCACTTTAGTCCTTAGGAAGTAGTATAAATAGAGGTGCCATTCATTTGCAAAGGCATCACTCAAGTGAAAAGCATTCTCCAAAGCAATACAAAAGACTTCTTCCAAAAACTCTCTCCTTGTTCTTTCTAAGTCTTTCCTTAAGCATTCTCTTAGCGATCTAAGTCTTAAAGGCTTTCTTGAGTTTACAAGATCTTGAAAGAGTAGTGAGTAAATTGTCAAGGGCCACACGGAACTTTAGCCAACACTCTAAGTCCGTGACACTAAACTTGTTAATAGTGACTACCTTGGTCATCATATCAGTCGGATTATCATGTGTACACACTTTCTTTGCATCACAAACCCCTTTGCGATCTACTACCTAATTTGTCCCTTTGGCAATGAATCAAACTTCCATGTTTGATTCTTGTGAAAAGACTCAATCTCTTCGCCCATAGCACCAACCCACTACCCACTTATCTTCTTCTGAATTAGAAATAGGCAACACTACAACAAATATGATATATAGCTACGAAATTATTAGCTACGACATCCAATTCGTCACTAATTGTTCGCTTTTAGTGACAAAATTTACTTTTCGTGCTTAAATATATGAGACACATACTTTTAGTGACGAAACAAAAAAACCGTAGCAAAGTTTCATCTACTAAAGTTTCCCACCAAAAAATTAATTGGCGCCATTTGTTAAGTAGTGTTAGTCACGAATTTAAAGTTATCAGTGACACATTATTTCGTCACTAATAATGTATCTAATTCATGACAAATTATTTTGTCTTAAAATTTATTGATTTTTTTACCCAAAAAAATTTCATCTAAAAAAATATGTTGTTACAATATCGACAAATTAGAATTCGTAGTTAAATATTATAAGTTTTAGCTATAAGAATTTAACTTTAATTATGATATTTATTTTCGTCACTAATAGTATAAATAATTGGTGACAAAGATTTTATTGTCTCTAAACAATCTGTGATTCAGTGACAACAAAAAAATTGTCACAAAATATGTAAGGTGTTAAATAGCGACGACTTAAAATTTGTAGTGAATAATTCAACTATTTGCTACGAAAAAAATTCATAGCTAAATACAATTTTTTTGCTACAATTGTTCATAATTACAAGTGACAACTTACAAAAGAATAATATAAGTGCTTCATAAGAAATAGACAGAGTCCTTTCTTTAATTGGCGAGGAAAAATATTAAAACCAACGAATTCGGTCCATTTTGTAAAAATGAAAAAGTTCAATTCATGAATTTTCTTAAATTACACAATTATGCATCATTTCAAAAATACAATCCAGGTTATAAGTATCGTGAGTGGGGTACGATTCTGCCACTAGATCACTAATATTTGTTGGTTTAACACTTTTATTTTTTTATTTGATACACTTTTATCGATAAAGACGAAAGAAAAAATAATTCTCAAGTCTTGGTGCTAATTCTTGTGCGTGTCTATTGATTTGTGATTGGTAAACTGCATAGACTAAGTCGATCTATTTGCTTTTGTCTAAAAATATGTAGTTATTTAATAGTAATTCCACAAATGCACGTAGATCAACTATACAGAGATAACATCGACTTACAAACTTAGACTTTGCAAAGGTGCGAAATATTTCATGAATTTCTATTAACTTTTCCATCAGTGTAAAAATTGAAATAAACTAAAAAAATGAAAGCACAAATGAAAGAAACGAACAACCTAGGATTTCAAATATATTATGATGAAGTACTATATATAGTTATGGGTATCAATGTTTTTTTCTACAAAACAATTGATTTACTGACCGAATTGAACCGATTATTCAATTTTTTAAATAAAATTGAAAGTTTAATTTTATTTAAATTTATAATTGTACTATATAATTTTTAAAATGTATAAAAATAATTGAATAAAATAACAGAAATGTACTGAATATATTTAAAGATATGTTAAAAAATATAAAGTTTAATTAAAATATAATCTACATTTGAATGAATTGTGGGTGGTAAATTTCATGCAGTTGTGTATGTGTATAAATAATCATATAGTATATTATATCTACAAAAGTTAAATTTGAAAGAAGTGAATGAGTAGAAAATAAATTAAAAATGAGAGACAAGAGAGAGTTGATCTGACGGTAAGCACTCCTCATTTCCAACCTTAAGGTTGTGAGTTCGAATCCCCAAGAAAGCATGATGTGGGAGCTCCTAGAGAGGAGTTTAAAATAAATTTGAGATGGGGGGCGGGGAGGATAATAGGAAAATTAATCTTTTTTATAATAATAAAATTGTCCCTAATTAATACATTTAATAACAAAATAATTTTTGGTATATAAAATATAGTCATTAGCAATAACATAATTTTGTCGGTAGTAATAACCTTTTTAGTGACAAAACATACTATTATCTACAAAAAATATACTTTTTACGACAAATGAATTTGTCACAAATGTTTAAGCATTTGGGGACGATATTTCTTTATATAGTTAATATAATACTTTTAGCGACGAAGCACTAAATCGTCTTTGTATACTTTTAGAGACACACATTTAGTGACGACTGAGCGACGAATTATTTTTCGTCTCACAAGAATTTTAGTGACGAAATATGATTTATAAACGATAAAATTATTTGTCCCTGATAATCGAATTTGTTGTAGTGCAAATAGCCTATTTGTAGCTAGTAGACTCAAGCATGTCAATGGTCTATGCAACTGACAAAGCAAATTCCACAAGATTTGCATATCCAAAAAGATTTTCATCAATTACATGTGCAAACCTTTTCAGTCGGTTGATCACTCTCTTCTCGCTGCATGTTGCAATGTTATTCAGTTGTTGTTGTATAGGTGCATCAACATTATCATCTTGATTAAGGTTTTGCACCTCCTCCATTTCCTCCGCTCTTGAACTTCTGAGTTGAGCTAGTGGAAATTCAACTTTTAGCTTTACATAGTCACAGACACCACAACCTGTTTCTACTATTGCCTTTTTCCTCAAACTGTTCACTGAGATAGATTCATTACATGTCATATACCTACTGACCATTAACCTTGGAGTCTTCCAATCTATGCACCACAATCTATAACCTCTCACTCCAGTTGCATACCTTAGAAATATACACTTATTTGCTCGTGGCTCAAGTTTAGTCATCCATCATATGAAGATAAACAGGACAACCAAATATTCTTAAATTTGAATAATGCAAATCGAGCCATACCTTAGAACGAGTTTTGAACTCAATTGTTGTGGATGGAGATCTGTTAACCAAATAACAAGTTGTATTGATTGTTTCAGCCCAAAAGTACTTGCTAACACAAGTGTGAAAAGACGCTTCATGCCCTATTACGAGGTAGTTTGTTCATATGTTCTTTAACACCATTTTGTTGTGTTGTTCTAACACAAGTGTGGTATCACATTATGCCTCTCTACTATAGAAATCATTGAGCTTTGAGTTGTAAAATTCCAACCCATTGTTGGTCCGAAAATGCTTAACTTTCCTTTGTCTGTCTCTCAATCATCGTCTTCCATTTAACAAATGTTCGCAATGCCTCATTTTTTTCTTTCAAAAAATACATTCATACTATTCTTGAGTAACCGTTAATCAAAAACATAAAATACGTGGCACCACTCTTTGAGGGAATTTTGTTTGGACCCCATAAGTCTGAATGTATATGGTCTAACTTGTCTTTGGTCTTTTTTTTTTTGCCTCTTCGTTGAACTTCACCCTTATTTGCTTACAAAGATATAATGCTCAGAAAAATTCAAAGCTTGATTTTTGTAGCCACCTAACAAATTTCGCTTGCTCAACGAAAGAAAGTTGCTTGTCACTCGTACGACCATGTGCAATTGGCACAACTAAAACTGATTCAGATCACTCTTTTGAGAAGCTACATTTGCTTCCCCCGACTAATTCGGATCACTCTTTTGAGAAGCTACATTTGCTTCCCCTTCAAGTACACTGGCTTGAAGATTATTAATACTATCTAGAATGTAGCTTACTCTTAATGAGTACCATGGACCCTTTACACACACTCAGTGTCCCATTATCTCAATGAAAGTTATATATCTAATCATCCAAAGTTGAGAGAGAATCGAACTATTCTTCATTCGAGGAACATATCAACACTCAATGTTTCCGATAATATCATCAAACATTCTTAGTTACCTATCTCATCTACTGCTAATGGAGTATCATCGCCTAAGTAGACATTCTCATTCGTTTGCTTGTAAGTTGCAAATCAATTCTTGTGTGGACACATATAATAAGTTGCACCAGAATCAAAAACCAAGAAATTATGCCTATGACTAAAACTCACAACGCAAACTTCTCTTATATAGTCATTGTTATCAGAATTGGTTCTAGTGTCAACAATAGAGTTATCAACTTTCTACTTCCCTATTTTATCCTTAAGCTTAGTAAAATCTCCTATAGTGACTCTGCTCCACGCACTCATACCAATTCTGCTTCATTGCTCTAAACTTCAATATGGTGTTTTTCTACTAAGTTCTTCCCCCTACTCATAATACCCTCACCCTCAGTCCTATTATCCAGAAAGTTGTTCATAAAACTCTTTAGATTTTAGTGCATTACTAAAATACTGCCTTTCTTGTATAGCAACGTATCAACAAATGTATCATAAAATGATGGTAAGAAACATAACACGATCAAGGCCTGATCCTCACTCTCTATTTTGATATCTATGTTCTCCAGGTCCAATATCATTAAATTAAACTAATCAAGGAGAGTTTTAACCAATCTACATTTGTTCATGTGGAGATTGTACAACCTTCTTGTTGGGTAGAGACGTTTTTTAGGATAAGTTCGTTGACTTAATGAGGGGATTGTCCGTTTAGAATTTAGATTGCCTGAGATGAACAAGATGTTGATTGGATGGATGACTTGGTTTGAATAGCAAGTATCATACTTTGTATTCTGCAATACAAAAAGATAACTTAGAGTTTTAATGCATGCAGTAGTGACACTTGAAAGTGAAACATGTTTGGCATTTTCACTTGTAATCGATGAAATAGTTAGTTACGATATTGATTGACTGCTAATTGTGATTTATTGTTGTTTTAATATAGGTGTTCAATGTACTCGATAAATTGATCTCTTCTGACTCTCAACTGTTTGCCAAGATGGAGAATGAAGTAAGAATTGTTTGATGTATGATGTATGAGGTTTTCACCCGACCCTCCTCGGCAGAAAATTACACAAGGTAATTCTTTACTTTTTATGTGTACGTTTAGATTTTGAGTCACCCTGTATACAAAATTCACTTTGATGGAAATCTTAGATTCGTCATTGTTGGCAGATGTGTGATTCTGATCAAAACATTGTGTGCTTGGATTCTCATCTAAAGTTGATTGATTTTGAAGATGAAGACGACTCAGGTTTTTCCTGAAGAATGCACAAGAAGTATGTGGTTTAATGTTCATTTAAAAGTGTTAAAGAAACCATTATGATGTTTGATTTTTTTTACAGTACTATTTGTCGCTAATATCCAAACACAACTTACCAGTGCATTATTTGTATTTTAGGTCAAGCTTTAAACACTTTATTCAATCTGTGTATCAGGTGGTTTTAGAAGCATTGAAACTCCACCTTAATGAGCTATTGACTACAAAATGAGGCACTAATCAGGTAAAAACCTATCTAAGCTTCTACTACTTGGTTAATGTTGACCTCAAATAGCCATTTACTTATATGAATACAAGGTAATGTTGATGATTGTTAAAATTATTTCATCATAATTATTTTACAACTTGTGCATTGATTTCAAGTGGAACTCCATATCTAATCTAGATATTCTGTAATTTCTTAGCTCTCTTCTATTTCTATTCATTGTAAATAATGTTGTTGAAGCTTATTTTATCTTAATTTCATTGTTATCTCATATTATGTACAACATGGAGGGAACTTTTTTTTTTTTCAAGATAGATCCACTACTGCTGAAGCAATTATTCAAAAATGAAGTTCCTCCTCCTTGGATTTTGAATTCAGTTGAGTCCAGATTATTCGTCACTAAATAATGAGCGTTTTTAAAATTATGATTATTCAAAAGTATTTTGTACTACTTTGATCTCAACCATAGTTCTTACGGAAATCACATACTTTTAAGGCAAAATTACAATCTATCCCTTAAAAGTTTATAATTACATAAATTCCTCAAACAAATACAATAATATAAGCACTGATACATTAATCTGATGCGCGAGATACAATAATATAAGCGCTAATACATGCACGAGATACAATGATATAATCGATGATACATTAATCTGATGCGCGAGATACAATAATATAAGCGCTGATACACTAATTTGATGCGCGAAAATGAGAGATTTGTAAAACTTATATAGGATAATGGTAATAATTAAATTAAAATGTGAGATTTTTGTAATTTTTCCAATAAATTTACCTCAAAAATTAAAATGTTGGGCCCATGCTTAACACCGACAAGAACCATCTAGTATATATATATATATTTGTCAAAAAAAAAAAAAACAACTTTGTTTGACAAAGCTTTACAAAAACATGCAATGTCCTGTCTCCTGTCCGGCTCTGTTTGGCTATCAGAGTATTTTAATTATCAGACTACATTTATTAAAACACTCGTGAAATATTTGCATATTAATTTAAAGATATTTCAAGTAAGATAATAATTTTTGCTTCTAAAATTCTAAACTTTCACAAACCTTTTTTCAGTTAAGCTTAATGTTCAAACAAAATTTAAAGTTAAAATATTAATTTTATAACTTAACTTCAAAACATAATTTTTTTTCAACTCAACCAAATATTGTCCAAACATGTACGTACATCTCAAAGTTCAAATGTCTTATTCCCATTGGAAAATATTTAATAATATAATTCCAAACACACTTGTCCATTTAGCATTCAAAATCAGTCTTTTCAAACCTACGGTGGAAACACAAAAGGCCAGTGGGACCCTAAAAGAAGGAAAATCACAATGAAGTAGATAGCAAAATCGAAACCATCGATAAATGGCGTATCTCCAAATGAGTCTGATTGTATATAATTTAAATTAGTTGAAATTTTAGTGCGTTATTAAATATCAGATTTTGAAAATCTGAAAAACAAAAAACAAAAACAAAACGCCACGCATAGAGTACCATTTGGGTATAGAAGAAATGCTAGTATTTACTTTTTAGAAAATAATATTTTTTCACTTTATTTTAAAATTAATATTCCATCATAAAAAATTCAAATCCAATTTAAAGTTCATTTTAAAATTTAGAAAACAGTTTATAACATATTTTCACTCATTTTTTTTATTTTTAAAATTATCTTCAAATTTAAATATATTTACACATGAACATTATTTCAGATATTATCAATAAAAAACATAACATAACGCTTGGTTCAACAATCTTCACCCATACTCGAAGTCCCTATTCTCACCGCCCACACCCCTACTTAACTCTTGACTCTTGACTTTCATAGTAATCTAAGATTATATACAAATAATTTTACTTATATAAATAACCCAAAAATAGATTTTTTTAAAAAAAATTATTATCAAAACGCCCCTACTAATTAAAGAAGACCCACGGGTTTCCAGAATAATTACCCACAAATCCGCCTCTTCTCCTCTTCTCTTGTACCCCATATAAAAGGCGCCATTTGCACCCCCACCCCGATCGTTTAAAAACCCCTAAACCCTCAAATCTCTCTTCACTCAAAGCTTCTTACATTGTCATGCGAAAATGATTTCTCGTGGATACGCAACGGACACTCAGTCGAAATCCTCCGATATCGCCGCCGCCGTACTCGCCGCCTCGTCGCCGCTGCAGATCCTCGCTGCGTGCGACGCCGTTGAGTCGTTTCTACACAAGCATACAGCTGACCAGACCCGATGGTTCTTCTCCATCACTTTCCCAACCCTAATTTGTAAAATTTTCGGCTTCGATGAATCTTCTTCTGCTTCAGTTGCTGTCAAGTCTATGTCTCCTTCTGGATGGATAGATATCGCCGCTTTATCCAATGATTCTCAGCTCGCAGGTTTGCTTCTGAAACTCTGCGCGTTTCAATTTCTGAGCTGATTGCTTTGTATTTACTTCCGTTTTCTTAGATTACTCCTTAAAAATAAGGTATAATTTCTTATAATCTTATGTGTTTTAGGATGCTCTTTAACTGTTTATATATTTATCATCACATTGTCGTGAATAGCAGTTAGAGTTCTTAGCTAATTAAGTTGTTTTTAATGCCATTACTTGATGACTATCTAGACTACATATTTCTGAAAGCGAATTTATAAGCCGCCACATTTTCTAAGATTTTCTTATAATATCCTTCGGTGTTGTGTGGCATTTTTGTTGTATGTTTTATCTGCAAGTTGCTATAGTTTGCAGGTAGAATTTCAGCTAATAAATTGATCTTTTCTGCCATTATTTGGTGATTATCGTGAATTATTCATCTAGAAAGCTAATTCAGAAACCTCTACATCTTTTGGAATTTTTCAATTTTTTCGCGTATTGCAATGTTTTAGTCATTTTATTTTATGTTATCCCAAATGTTCTGGTTTACAGGTAGATGTTCAGCTTATTATGTGAATTTTATGTGAACTTATAATCCTTCTTTGCTTCCAGAAAGTTTTTTTTTTAATTTTTATTTTAAAACTATTTTTTTATGTTCTTCAATGAATTGTCTTTGTTTTTTTGGTAACATTTTATTGTTTACAGGTAGAATTTACAGCTTATTATCGCCCACTGGTGTGTTGCTATCTTCTATTGTGGCTGCGGATGGGTTGTCTCTGGTTAAATATGTATTTCCTGTAGAAAGGTTACCCGAATGGGTTCGTTATATGCTTCAAAATGAGAGAGATTCTTTGGTTTTGTCTGACTTATGCCCGTTGTTCAAAAATAGGTTGAAGGAGGACTCAGTTAAGGGTTCTTCATTTCAGGTTCAGTTGAATGTGTTTGAATATTACATGTTCTGGTTTGTCTATTACCCTGTTTGTCGAGGTAACAGTGAGGGCCCTCAAACTGTAAGTGTTAGGAGAAGCAGAAGGTTTAGATTGGAGAATTGGGCTTATTCGATTCCAGGTTTGTCAAGCACCAAACGTGGGATGGAGCAGAACAATGAGGGCGATTTGTATATGCGTCTCTTGTATGCATATCTCCGTGCATATGTGCCTGTAGCTGATATGAAGGCACATCAACCATATAGGAGCTCACTGCTTCACTACTCTTTTTCCTATGGGACTCCAATTGTTGAAAAAGCAGAGTTCTTGGTGAACACTCTCATACATTTTTGGTTAGTTGATAATGATTTCTCACCATTGCCTGTGAATTTGTGCAAATCGTTTGGTATGACATTCCCTTTCCGGTCAGTACTGGGTGAGATTCCTCCTACTTCAGGATTAGGTGAAGTAGTAAACGTGTTTGTCAAATATCTGAATCTAAGTTCGATCGCATCAAGTGATAGAACTGACCAGGTTGACTACACTGAAAGTCCTAAGTGGAAGGTTGGGGGGACATTCAATGCTTCTCAGTCAAGAAATGCTGTTCCCTTCGTGGATGCTGGTAATTCTTGGAACTCGTGGATTCAGAGGCCATTGTACCGATTTATATTGAGGACATTCCTGTATTGTCCAATGGAAAGTTCTATTAAGAATGCATCTCAGGTGTTCACCTTGTGGGTTAGTTACCTGGAGCCCTGGTCTATTTCTATGGAAGAATTTGCAAAACTTGATTCAGATCTGGGGAAGTCTAATAGAGGGACATTAAAGGAGGTTACCCCATCAATGCCACATGGTTATACCTCTTCTTGGCAAGATTTTGTATTAGCTAACTACTTATACTACAGCTCTTTGGTCATGCATTTTATTGGTTTTGCCCACAAGTTTCTTCACACAGATCCAGAAGTGATAGTCAAGATGGTTTCAAAGGTCTGTTCCATTTTCAAATCTTTCCTTTTGTTGGTTACTATTGTAGAGAGGCTTCTGGTGCATATCACTTGGGTGTTTGTTGCAATAATGAACGGCTGACTGCATGACATGTACTGCCAGTTATGTGCATGGTCGTAGTTTGGCATGTCTGGTCTCAATTAACTTTATACGACTACTTTAACTTTCACTAGCCAAATGAGAACTGCTCCAGATAACACGAGTCTTGTGGTTTCAATTTCAACAAATACTGTGGATTTTCATATTGGCAATTGTTGGTAATACTAATTACTTTTCTCTGTTCTTTGGAAGTGTTTTTGCGCACTCTTGAAGAGTCTGATGTTATAACTCGCATGGTATTAGAGGACAGAAGACAATGGTCTTAGCTGCCTTGCCAAAACCATGAATCATGGTACAATTGAATGTGGGATTGTAAGATCTAGTGGCACAGTTGCCTTGAGTATAGCTGTCATCTCAGTTTTGCTAATATTAGAAAGAAACTGTGAACAGACTGGAGCATCTCACCAGGAGCTGTTGATCAAAATATTTTGGACCAACTTCTTTAATTATGTGTCTCAGAGCATATGTTGTTAGTTTAGTGCTCTGTGCTGCCCTGCCCTTTAGACCATATGTTGTTACTCTCCAGCGTTCTTTAAAATCTGTGTTGCATGTCTTTATCCTTATTGACTTTTAGATTAGTTAGGTATTCCACATGCTTTTATTTCAGCTTTTATTTTACTATCGTTCTCCTTGTCCCTTTCTAAACTATGATTTATTGTGCAGGTGATAACAATATTAGCCTCATCTACAGAACTGATGGACCTCATAAAAAATGTGGATATTGTATTCCATTCGAAACCAGCTGGATCATCTAAATCAATGCTTAATGCTTTGCATAGATATGTTCCTGCTATTCGTGAGCAATTACAGGTACTCTAATAGCTCGTCTTACCAGTGCTTCCTTAATTCATTGTTAGCCGTTAGCACACTTCACTTTGATCTTCCCTCTTAGTGATTAAATGAAATGTATTCTCATTTTACTGATAGAAATATCTTGTCAGCAAGCATCAAAAGTAAGTGAAGAAATGCCGACCCCTGCAACAGTAATAGTGGTTACAGTATGATACATGTAGATGATGTGTTGTTCCCTTAAAGTAATGAATGAAGATAGAAAAAAGATATGAATAACTTTATATTATTTTATCTTATGTGCCCCAATCTTCACTAGCACATTTCAACCAACATCTCTGAGCCATTTGGAGAGACGAGGTTAGGGGTTGAAATTTGATTTCTGCTTTCATAAAGAGAGGAGTAATTTATGTGTATTGTGTTTACCATTATGAAACCTATAACCGTCTTCCTAAATTAGGTCATGTAGCTTTGAAATGGTCTTACTAAATTATGAAACTGTCTCTGAATGCAAGTATTCTTGGTTAATCTTTTTAATATAAATGTCCAAGTGTCTAATGAGCTTGCCCATGCGTAGGGCTCATCAGATTTTCCAGAAAGTATTAGCAACATTTGTGTAACCTTTCTAGTAGAGCCTAATTGCATGCATACCCGTGCTAGCTCCAATAGTCATGAACCTATGTTAGGGGTGTGAATACCTTCACTTGCTATGCTTCTTTCCAATTCTTATATTCATTTGCCATTGTGTCAGGACTGGGAGGATGGCTTATCTGAGACTGATGCTGATGGTTCTTTTTTACACGAGAACTGGAACAAAGATTTACGACTCTTCAGTGATGGTGAAGATGGTGGACAAAAGTTGCTTCAGGTGATCAAAATTTAGCACTCCAGATGTTCTGTGTAGTTTGCACTTGTATGTCTGTGTTACTAACTTAGGCCAAACTGTCTTTCAGCTGTTTGTATTGCGAGCAGAATCTGAACTGCAATCAATTGGCGGAGAAAATCTTTCTCAAAACCTCCAGGGTTTGGATAGACTGAAATCCGAGCTGTGCCAGTTATTTGGTGGCCCTATTATGAATCCCTTGAGTACTCCAGAGACTGTACAATGTGAGTACATGCGAGATGAAATCTTTAAGCCCAGGAGTTTTGCAAATAGAGCAATGGTCGATATTAAATACAAGGGTGATTGGATGAAGCGGCCCATCTCAGACGATGAAATTGGGTGGCTGGCAAAGGTGCTTGTAAAGTTATCAGGCTGGTTCAACGAGAGTCTTGGGTTGGGCCAAGTCGAGAGCAGCCAAGAGAGTCCTTCTTGGTCATATGTTGACGTGTCCAGTGATGCAAGGAGTGTGTGCGGACCCATGGAAGTGATTAAAGTTGTGTTGTGCTCTTTCATTTCCTGGCTTCTTATGTTACGTGGAGCTGGTGTGAGGTTCATGAGAGAGCATGGTGTCAGGGTGAATCTCAGGGTCTTAGCATCAAAGAAGGTGGTAGTGGTGTTGCTTGTCATTGCTGCTTTCAGTCTACTCAGGAGAGCTTTTTTCGGAGTTGGGTAATGTTTACATGGGAGATCAAGCAACATAACAGAATGAACTCCTCAAATATAGGTCTAGGACTGAACCAAAAAAGAACAGAAATACTCGGAGAGTGTGTGATAGAGAGAAAGAGAGAAAAAAGAAAGGAAACAAAGAAAAAGCCTGCTTGCAAGGTTTCGTTTTGTTCTGTTTGTAAATGGACTTATCTTGTGCAGGATGGAGAATTTATATAGCAACTTGTTTGTTTGTAGCCTTCAGTCCTTCCACTTGTTATAAATATTGTTCTTTCTCCTAGCTGAAGCAATAAGCTTTCTTGTGCCTTATGAAGTACAGTGCACCAAAACCGTCACGAGCTGTGTCTCCTCTAGTCACAACTAGGAATCACGAAACCTTTTCGTTGAGGATGGGATTATTACTGCTCCTTTTGATTTACTGTTAAACCGTGGTAAAGGGAAAGAACTGTTGCAGATTGTTTTATTAGATTCTTAAAGAGCTTGGAACTTGTCTGGAAAGTTTCACCTCTTTGCGTTCCTTGTTTTCTGATTATACTGCCTTCTTGGTACTACGTATTTTGGTAAACTCAAAAGTCAGCTCACAGGGATTAGTTAATTGAATGTAAATTAAACTGCCCATTTGGGGCAAAATATTTGTTTTTGTGTTCTTCAAAACATGTTTATTGAGTAAAACAAGATAATTTGGTTTTCCTTTTAAAAGAACCAGGTCTTTCCTTAACAGATCCAATACGTGAAGTCGACATGGAGAAAGAAGAATAGGTATACACCATACATATATACACATCGGAAAAGTAGATGGGAAATTCTCTCCCTGATAACAGTGATGCAATCAGTGATTTCACAAAGTAAGTTTACAATAAAAATAAGTAAACATACGAAAAAGTTAAGAGGATTCAACATCTACTATATATACATGAAAAACAATTTTAACCTTGAATATACAATGTAACTTTCCATCGAGGAAGTTTCAAAATGAACCTACTCGCTTCCCCACTCCCTAGTATACGTAAACGGCAAATATTTGACATTGTATTTAATACAACTAGCAACAAGATTAATATTCTACATTGTTACTATGACAGACGCACAAAATCAACTGCACATCTTGAACTGCCACCTTCATGTCTGAAACAGTGCCGGCTCAATGCTTATAAAAATTAGGCATATGCCTTAGCCCCCAATTTTAGGGGGCCTCTAATTTTTACCACAATAAATTATGTGTTAATTTTTTTTATAGAAAAAAAATAATTATCTAAGATAAATATATTTTTCTTAAAAAATATATATATTATTTTATTCACCTTAACCTCAATAAATAGAAGAAATCAAGAAAAAAATGTTTTGTCTTCTTACATTCTCTTCACTAACTCTCGCACTGTAATTTTCTAGACTCCTTTTATACTATAGGTAAGTTAGAGCTTTATAAAAAATATGAATAAATAGTAAAAATCATGTTTTGGATAAAGTGAATTACAAGCCTGTTTAGATTGACTTATTTTATGTGTTTTTAAATAAAAAAAAAAGAAGAAGCTTATAAGTTGTTTTGTCAACTTATTACTTATTGAATAATGTTAACAAGTTATATAATAATTGCTAGCTAAAAGATTTTAGGCCTTTAATTGAAATTTCGCTTTAGGCCTCCAAGTACGTTGAGCCGCCCCTGGTCTGAAAACATATTCAGCAATGTACATTCCTTTTCTATGTACACATTAACTCGTTTCTGTGAGCATCTTCTGGTTTAGACTGCGCGAAAATTCAACTTGCAGTGGAAAAAACTCGTGATGATAGTGAAAAACGTGTGAAATGCTGAAGGCCTGAGACAGTTATCCTTTCCCCTGCTGCTTAGTGTGCATTGCAGGATTCAGGACCTGTCAGCCTTGCAGACACGAACGGAGTGAAATAACCAATCGATGAAACCTCTGTCATCAGAAAAGAAATGTAGTTTATCAACAACTCTACATTCATTTGTATTCTTTTCTAGTGAAGTGGTAAAAGCTATGATCAGTACCTCATATCATCTCAAGCAAATGGTTCATGTTGCTGTAGGCGGGCAAGTTGAAAGCACGATGAACTCGAGTGGGGTTATGATATCTGTGATTCTTGAAACTGGTTGAGCCTTCTAGACCAAATGGAATGCAGAATCATATGGAAGAGATCAAATCTAAATGGCATTGCGTTCCAATGAAAATGCTTCTGCACCCTCTTGACGTTATTTTGCATCACCTGATAACGTCTTAAAGGTATACTTAACAAAATCTCCTTCAGCTTAGGAATATCTTCCTCAGAAACTATCAATGAGAAAGCACTCCAATCGAGCACTTCGTCAAATGGGAGGGCAAGATTATCAGCAATGATCACTGGTACACACTCGTAGTATATTGCCTCGACAATCCTTGGACTGTTCACTTCAAAACCCATTGGACAAAGACAGAACTTGCTTGATTTCATGTGGTCAGGATAAGACATTATTCTTGAGACTTTGGTAGGTAGAGGCCCGTAAATTTTCATGTCTTCATCTCGGTCACTCCAGTACTTGAGGAGTTTGGGACGGACTGGTCCGTGCATATTTCCAGCAAAAAAGGCGAGGATAGGGCGTTGTGACACTCTTTTTCCACCAACATTTACTAGAGGTTTACCGATATTTCTTATGGCGGTCTCCGGAAGGGAAACATCCTTTCCAGCTTTAAATATTCCTTCTGATATATCTGCATTGCAGAGAGCTTTTATAGTGTTTCGAATTAACTCCTCGTGATCCTTTAAAATGTAAGGCCCCTGAAAGAAAATTTATGTTGAAGATGTAAGATGGGGTCCAACACCGGGTAAACCATGTGAACTGGGATGGGTCTGACTCTGATACCATGTTGAAGTAAGTAACTATCTCATCTAAAAACTTAAACTTTAGGTTATTAAAAATCTTAGGGAGCATTCTTATAGATGCTCCCGCTCTACTTCAAGAAAGTCATGTTAAATTTTGAGACTGGTTTTTATCTTTATATAACATGCTTTTGCACTATTATATACCAGATTTCGTTGAGACAAGTCTGACTACCTAGTGTAATCCTACAAGTGATATCTGGGAGGGGAGAGTATACACAGAGCTTACCCCTACCTCGTGGAGGTAAGGAGGTCGTTTCTGAAGGATCCTCGACTCAAGTATAGCAAATCAAAGTAATTGATTGGGAAAAGGGAAAACTACAGTGAAGAAAACATGACAACTAACAAGGAAAACAGTACAGAACATTCAGAAAAGGAAGAATAACAACAACAAAATAGTCTGATAACTGAAACACAATAAACAACAGATGATAACAGATATCAAAAGCAAGAAACTGCATGAATAAAAGACGTGGATGCATACCCAATCATGGCAAGCAACTAGAAAGTGATCTGTTCCGTGTGTACGATTCCAGAAGGGATACTTTGCAGCTAGCATGTTCACATAGTCTCGTAGGAATTCTGACAACGGCCTAAGATTATGCGAGCCAGGCACATAAACTGCCATCTGCAACTGTCGTGAACTATATGGCAGATAGAATAGGTGAGCCTTCTCAGGGTCCCTAGTGACAAAGTAGGGATTTTCCTCCATCAATTTCATGAACCATCCCTCAGACGAATAAATTCCCAGAAGATGAGGTTCGTGGAAAATAGGCCTGTCTCCTTCTTTGTAAATGTAAACTTTGAGTAGAAGTTCCATCATCTCATAGCTCCTGGAATGTCAACCAAAATTTGTGTTTAAACAAAAAAAAATAATTGTGAAGTCTTCTTTACTTTCTTAAACTCCGTGTCAAGTCATAATAGGTCACTCAATTTGAAGCAGAGGGAGATCATACCTCTTAAAGTTGGAAATATTCCTAAAAAGAGGAGCAAACAAGTCTGGATCATCGGTGACTAAAGGAGCTTGCTCAATCTCCCTTCTAGCATATGCAAGTGCCTCATTTGGTGTCAACGACGCGATAAATCTCTGGAGATAACTATGTTAAAGAAGAACAAGATAGACAGAAAGAAATATGAATTCAATAATCACTTAACTTACTTGCAAGTGATCAGGCACAACAGGTGGAGGCGGATAAACAATCTTTTCTACTATACGTGCCTGCTTCTTGCGTCTCCTACGCCTCAGAAGTCTTGCTCGTCTTTCCATAACTCTCATTAATCGGTTTGCTCTGGCTGTAGAGTTGAGTGAAACAACCGCGGGCAAATGCTTACTCATTTTCAACTGGTTATCAGATGTTACTGAAAGTTCAAGTTCCCTCGATTTGTTTCCGTGATTTATTAGGCGTTGGTAAGATGAAACATCCAAGGGTGGAGAGCTAATCCATTCAGTTAAAGGATTAGGGAGGCTATAAATTTGAAAGACAACTCTAAACACTGTTAAAATAGTGCCTATAACAAAGAGTTTCTTCCAGTTAACTCTGAAGAACAGAACAACAATTATTCGCCGCAAGAATTTCCTCATCTCTTTTGGCAAATATAGTACTCCTTAGTCCTCCCTATACTACAAAAATCCAACTTTGGTAATGAAATGATATGTACATTGACGATGAACATCGGATTTCAATTCATTTGGAAGCCTAAAACAGCCACCCCATACCTCCAACATGTTCTTCAGCTCAAAGTTGAAGATCTAACAAAACAAGAGGATAAAGAAACCATTAAGTTTATTCTAACATGTAGGGTTATGATACAACATCAACATATCCAGTGAAATCCCACAGTGGGTTCTGGGGAGGGTAGAGTGTACGCAGACCTTACCACTACCTCGTGGAGGTAGAGAGGCTGTTTTACGAAAGACCATCAACTCAAGAGCAACAAATCCAAGTACAAAGAAGAAGAAAACATAGCAACTAACAAAGGAAGCAGTGCAAAGCAACATGTAGAGTTATGATACTACATAAAAAAAAAGAAGGCAATACTATGTATCCAACCATGGACACAAAAGATAATGTTGTATTCAGGTTAGCTTGTTCCCACCTCAACTATTCCACGTGATATATTATTACCTCTCACCAACACATATACCGAGTAACTCACCAACAAAATTTATCATGTGGAAAACCCTCTCAAACCCAAAACACCAGAAGAGAAACTAGGATTTCAACTTTATGAGTTCTGAATTTTAATAATGACAATTTTAAGTGATAATAATCGGATTTTCTAAATTTAATATTTATACATATTTAATTAATTTATTCGAGCAAAATCAATTAGGTTCAGCTGAACCTGCATGCAGGCTACTAGCTCCGCCCCGAAAAACACCACACCCCACCTCACAAAATTTGACAAGCATTTACATTTTGACAATAAAGCAACCAAATTGTTATTGAATATTGACATCAATTTTAAAGATTTAGTATGGATATTTTCAATGTAAGAAATGATCACAAACTAATTAAACAATATGTAAAAATAAAGTTGTTGCACATTATAATAAAACATATCCATGTATACTTGATACCTTTAGTGTACAAAGATCAAATGGAGGTCAGCAATACGACGTCGGAGAGCTGGAGAAATAGAGAGAAGGAAAGTAGAAATTGAAGAAGAAAAAATGGAGATTTGGAAAGTTGAGAAGGAGAATTAAAATAGCGAAATTGGCGCTAACTGTTTTCATATTTATTGGTCTATTCTTCGACACTTCCTTTCCTTTCAACTGCTCTTGTTTAATCCAATTTACGTGTGTCAGTGTTTGACTTGGCATAAAGTTTTTTTTTTTTTTTGGAATCTCAAATTTGATATTTTATTTTTCGAGTTCCATATTTAAGTTTTTATCTAAACTATCAACAAATATTTATCGAAATATAAATTATCAGTTGTTTGAGTTTTACATGAAATTTTCAGGTAGAAAAAATGAACAACTAATAAATCACAAATCTATTTTACCCTTATAAACTATTTATTGAAATTAATCTATTTTTTTACTTCTTTTCTTTTACCTTCATGTTTTTAGTTTATTTCATTTTTTTAACTTTAAGAAATATTTTTATCTTCTATATTTCTATACTGACGTGTGGAATTCAAATTCTATACGTTATGACTTGTGATGAATATAATTACACTTTCAACTTTTCTCTAGTCTTGTTTCTATAGAAATCTTTTGAATTAAGCCACACCACATATTCCTTTTCATTTGAAGAAAACAGACAAAGAAAATTGATATGATTCTTTATTTTTTAGGCATCCAAATCTATCCTCTTTTTAAGGAAAAAAAGAAGTTTACCAAGCATGGCTTGCTAGCTTATTGTATAAATTTTTTAAAAAGATGAAGAAGAATAATATCATTTTTTTTAACTTTTGGTTTAAATAGAAATAAACCTCGTGTGTCCCTTTTTTATTTGTCCAATTTTGACTTTTTACTTGTCATATTTGACAAATTAAAAAAAGTAAAATATTTTTTTACCTATTATACCGTCAATTTATTTAGAAAGTTAATGTTTTGAAAAAGGTACAATCTCTTTACTGAGTAAGTTGATTTTGGAATTATATCAATGAATAAAAGTAATATGGTAAGCTCACTATATCAATTGTTATTTGTTTAATAGGCGTGCGAAGTAAAAAAAAAAAAGGATATGTAAATAGGGACAGAGGTAATATCAATCCTACATTTATTGATTAAGTATGAATACATGATATAAATAGGGAAAATGGTCTGAAATATATCCGAACTTTGACCAAAATTGTTGTTATGATACCGAACTTTGGAAATGACCGTTTACCCCTCTGCACTATTTAATAGTGTATTTTAAAGGTATATATGTGCCTACGTGGACATAAAAAATATTGTATCATTATAAATAGTAATGTGTCCACGTGGGCACATATATACCTTTAAAATACACTATTAAATCGTGCAGGGGTGGAAGGTCCTCCATAAAATTTGATATCGTAACAGCAATTTCAGTCAAAGTTAGAGTATTTTTCAGACCCTTTTCCCATATAAATACTCCCTCTATTTTATATTGCTTGATTCCTATTGATTTGACAGACTCTTTTAGAAAGCTTAGATGTGTATGTGTATTTTTACTAAAATAATCTTATTAATGATGCTTAGGAACACCAAATTTGACTAGTACTTATTTAATACTTATTAAACATAGTATGTAAAAAGAAAAAAAAATCTCTTTTGAGTCATTAAAATGGACAAGTAAAATGAAATATCTATTTTTGATATAAAATGAAATAGTGAGAGCAATCAAATTCTTTTTTAATTTACTAAAATGAACAAGTAAAAATAAAATATTTATTTTTGATACTGGAGTCAAATAAAATGAAACGGACGGACTTAGAACATTTTTACTCTATTTTTCTGCTTTTTATTCTCTTTTTCTTTCGTTTTTCCCTTCCTAGTTTTCAAACAAAAATACAAAAAAATCAGTTTCCAGGAAATCCGTGAAGTAAAAGCCCAATGAATAAGGAAAAAATAGAAGAAAAAAAATTAGACTTTTTTTTTCTGCCTCTATTGTATTTGGTCGTTTTTGTGTGTCACTATTGAATATAGACGTAAAAGAGGCTAAGTACTTAGACAAGTTGTACCTATAATAGTACATTTGAATAATATCTTTAATTTTATATTCCAAAAAAAGAAAGAAAAAAGGTGCAGAGATTCCATCAACAAAAGGATATTCTAAAAAGTATTTAATACGTAACATTTATTGAACTTTGAAAAGAATTGCAACTTGCAAGAACAAGATAAATAATAAATTATGAGATTTTTCCATATTTATAAAAAAATTATGATAGGGCAATCTGATTATGCTCGTAAAGATGTGGGAATGAAATATGGAGGAGGTATTTTTCTATACATTGCTCTGTTCAAAATTTTACGGATTCATTATTCAAATTTTCATTTAGCTTGTAATCGCTTCTTAGCCTGATAAAATTTGAATGGTGTTGAAATGTGTCACTTACGAAGTATATATGTTTCTTACTAAAGAAGACTCAATTTTAAGACTTAAACCTAAAATATAAAGAAAATAAAAGAAAAAAATGGGAGAAGGGAGACGAGGTGAATTTTAAATTTGAAGTTTATAAATTCATTAAACAATCTAAGTTAATATATAAAATATTTAATTGTACGATTTATCTTTCAATTGGGTTGATCTTTGAATTTTGTCCTTAGGAATTGAAATTATGCCGCTAGGCATAAGATTTTTAAAGGCACATGGCAATTAGCATAACTTACAGAATATTATAATATAAAAATATAAATTTATGCCTCATAAATTTTTAGCCTTGAGAGACAAAAATTAAAGATCCACATAAAATGTAGAAATGGAAATGAACCATTAATATACAACAATTAAAATCACAATTAAACACTTGTAAATATTTGATAAAACTATTTCTCTTAATATCTAACAAAAACTATTAAATTCATATGATAGTTTTTCATATACATAAAATAAAATAGAAAGCGAAAAAACGAATTAATTTTTACCCAATTGATAAGTTAGGTACTTATTAATTCTTGAAGCAGGTCTTTATCGAGAGTGACACATATCCACGACTGCATCCAATATATTAGTCCATGCACTTATATCCAAAACGACCAATGTCCAAGAATTATATTATTATATAAAATAAATAGGATAAGATTTCTATTGGGATATTAATATATTGACTTCAATAATAGTAGGATCCCATCATGAGTAATTTAAAAAAATATATCATATGTGAACAATATTTTTTATTAAGAAATTTAAATTTACAGTATGCAGTCGGAGTTACTTATGGAGTTATCTGGCACAATAGTGCATGCATCATCGTTATAAACATCGAGTATAAATAAATTTTTTTGTTGCACATAATGATCGGTATTGCCTAAAAAGGAAGTCGATTTGCATTAAAAATTTACTTTTTTTGTGTTCTATATTAGTCGATCATCTTATTAAATAGTTGTTCTATATTAGTTGTCCACCTCACTAAATCAAAAAGATATTAATTAAATTTTCATATATTATCAGTGCAATTAATATTTTTTTAAAAGTGTTCACATTTATTTGTAAAATTCCTAGAAGATTTTTAAGGGGTGAATCAGTAAAATCATCTTTTTATTTATGATTTTTTAATATGCGTATAAAAAGGAAAGTGATCAACTAATATAAGACAGAGAAGGTAAACATCTTTTTATCATCCACGCTGGAACTATAATATTAAGTACAAATTGTGATAAAGCAAATACTTTTAAATTATTTTTTTTCTTGACTTCTATATTGAAAATTAATATTATTTTACTTGTCTATTTTAATAAACTAATATAAATTCCGTAAACTTCAAATTCTGACTCGAGATCTCACGGCCCTACATATACTTAGTCGCGCAGCCGCTCAAATAATAATATTCACATACCCATAATTCCTCTTTATTTTTCTTGCTAACTTCTAAAACCTTCTGCACAATCATTATTTCATTTATTATTTTTTTCCTTTTTATCAAGAAAATATACTAATTGCTAATAATATAATGCCAAATGGCCAACATCTTATTTTAGCTACATTGAAATCAAATACTATATAAATAGAGTCCCTCTTATAGATTTGTGGAGACATTGCTGCTCTGTTTATTTTATTTTTTCTCAAAAAAAAAAAAGTGATTTTTCAGCCATGGTAGCAATAGTGAAATATGGAATAATTGGTGTTGGTATGATGGGAAGAGAACATTTAATCAATCTTTATCATCTTAAATCTGAAGGAGTTTCTGTTGTTGCCATTGCTGATCCACATCTTCCTTCACAAAAATATGCACAAAAATTAGCAGATTCATTTGATTGGCCTCTCCAGGTATGAATTATATCACTTGTCACATTTATGGTTTTCTTAGTTTATGTGGTCTTCGAGTCAGCTTGCATTATGTATACGAGATTCCTCATGTTATTCTGCCCTCCAAGGCAGGACCGGAACCATTGTATTTAATATGTATGAGAAGAAGTCATTTGCATTTTTTCCTATGTGATTTGTGACTATTGAATAGGAGCGGGGTTTTACTGTTAAGCAACCAAAAGATAGCCGTTGCGGATTTGAACTCTATTTCCCATGATTTCTGCCAAGTTCATTATTGTTACACTATTAGCATAACATGTCTAGATACAGTGAATGCTCTGGCTTTTGAATTTTTACTAAGGGGTAGTTTGGTAATTAACCCGTAAGATAAAGTGAAATATTTGAAATTAAATTTATATTATATTTGATTGACAACCTAGTATAAATCTAATCTCAAAATTTAATAAGTACCGGATATCTTACCTTATCCTATCAAACTAAAAATTATTTTATTTTATCCCATAGGATAAATTAATACTAATTCGGGGATAATTTATTCTTCGTACCAAATAACTCCTAAAAAGTTTGGAAGTATAAAAGGGAACTGTTACATTTTGTTTTAAGGGTTCTGTTACATTGTTAACTGTATGATGTTTTAATAATCTCCACTGTCTTTTGTAACTTTTACAGTTTGTTTAATGGAAGTTTTGAATGGTTAAAAATGCTTATTTTGGAGAATGGACGGGGCAGTACTAGGGGTGGGCATGGTGGT